GCAGAGCGGTCGGCAGCAGGAGGAGCGCCACGCCAACCAGTGAGAACTACTATGAGAGATCAACCCAGACCGGAAGCCGGCTTATGAACTATACCACAAGGTAGCTGTCCCAAAACCACATGTTCCTATTGAAATAAATCACGTAAATCTATTTCTGCTGTTGTCGTATTTCTTTCTTGCAACCATATGCTTGTCTATAACACTAGTGTCAGAAGCGTACAGTGAGAGAAATATGGCCAACTACACGAGCTTCTCCCAAGCCGAACTATTTACTCTCATCAAGGAACAGAAAATACTACCATTCAACTTGAAAACGGGACCAACACAGCCTTCCGAATCCACAATACAGGAAATTCAAGCCAACATAAACGACATGCTGACTGCTCTAAAATCAACTACTTCAACACCTCCCACCTCTCAAACAAACGGCGATTACAGCTTAATGATGCGCCAACAAACTATACGCGACATGTTGAAGCTAGAGAGAACCTTTTACCCTGGACACGACGTGAACCGATTCATCACGGCTCTAAACAAAGCATACACAATCCACGTCATGCCAGAACTCAGCACCTATCCCAGCCTGGAATGCGAATTCGTCAAGTCTACTAAAGATTTACTGGACCAAAGTATCTTTCAGCAGACGGTTGACTCAAAAAAAGACATATCCACCTTCGAACGACTGAAGGAATACTTATTAGCAGCCCACTGAAGCCAGATGACTAACTTCCAACAAGCCTGAGATCTAGAACAGCGAGACGGTGAAAAATTAACAGACTTTGCGAGTCGACTCAAAAACACCCTTAGAGAGGCAGCTGTCCACATAAAAAAACAAATACAAAAAAGACAAAAATACAGACTTAACAGCCGATGGACTTATTTCCATCATCGGCGCTATGCTAATGAGTGAAAAGGTGAAAATTTGAACTCAAATCTTTACCCACATCTTGTCAAGACAACGGACAACCACTATTCAGCCATTGGCATAGCCTCCAAAGCTCAAATATACCTTGATCGCGGTGTAAAATCCAATGACACGACTTCGCAAAACATTGTTTATTTCACACAGAAACCACAGTGGTCAAACCAAAGAAACGCACCACTCCGACCCAGCAGGCAACCAAACCCACAGCAGACGGGCCTCACCAACCCTTCCAAACATGGCCACCATCCGACATGCAGAAACCATCAGCACACACCACGAATCAGCGTGTGCAAGAACTACCTCAGAGGTAGCCCCTACCTTCATAGACGTAACTGCCTATATCGCCACCCACCTTGTACTCGGGCACAGGCCCATATCGCCACAAAGAATGATAATATACAAGCCATAAATGATGTGGAACAGGATTTTCACTTTGGGCAGGACGAGATGTGATGCCTCGTTCACAATGCCCCTACGTCAGCCATCACACCTTCAACTTTCAAGGACTCGCTCACCATTCACCGCTCGACCAGTCCACCTTCAACTTCAGGGACATCACCTTCTCTGGCGTCGCAATGCTAAGCTCTGGATGCTCCACCTGAATCTTACCAATATCTCAGTTACTAAGAGAAGTCAGAAAACACATGACCTGCTCCGACGTCATAGTAAAAGGAATCAACGGCAGCACCACCGCCCTTGGCGAACTGACTTGCGACATCACCATCGGCAGTCGAGACTCACCCACATTCAAAAAGGTTAACGTGCTGGTAACTACCCAAACCACACCGATCCTGATCGGCCAAAATATCCTATGTCACAACATGCTCGATTCCTATCTAATCGACAACCAAAATGCAACTATAGAATTCAGACGCACACTTTCCTCAGGATACACAACACACACACAGCTGCAATCATATCACCGTCATCGTCAACCAATGATCCAGCATATGGCGCCCAAGCTGACGTCATCCAAAACCAGCCTACTATGGAACTACAGCCCAACATCCAGACACTGGATCAAAAGCTAAACTGGCTAAAGCATAGCACAGGGCTATCGCTACCACACCACCCGAACTGAGACGAACTAACTAGGGCCACTGCAAACTTACTACCATTCGCTACGCTGACATTATCGGCACCGAAAGCAGCAGCAAAGGCACATTCATCCGACCCATCCGCATACCAACCAACGGCCAGTCTCGCAGCCAGAAACAACACCAGATAGCCCAGGCTTTGGAAGCAGACGTAGATACCGAAATTAAGCGTATGGAGAATGAAGGTATCATTGAAAACTGCAGTGACCCCAAAAGGCTTCAATAGCCCTGTATTTGCCGTACGCAAGAAAAACGGATTGATTCGCGTCGTTGCTAACTTCAAAAGAACTCAACAAGGTCTTAGTCGATCTTGACCCTTACCCAATGCCAAAGATCGACCACTTGTTCAACAAAATCGGCAAAGGCAATAGATATTTTACTACCCTCAATCTATGCAGCGGCTACTGGCAAATTGAGATCGACAAGCGAGACCGATACAAAACAGCATTTACATGGAAGGACCATTGTTATCAATACACGCGCCTCTAACACTCAGTACTAGCCTATGTAGGAGTATGAAACAAAAATAATTATTAATAAACAAAAAATTAAAAGTAATAAAATTACTTTAAAATATAGATATGAATGATAATTAACAATAAAGAAAAAGTGATTATGAAAAAATGGTTAAATAAATATGAAAACTCCCATCATGTGCTGGAACAGAAATTTTTGCCACTAATTGAAACAAATCAAATTCTTTCTCTTCACCTTCAGTGGACAAACAAAGCAGATTTCCATGGACAACCCTCTGAAACCATGTGGCAACTACCAGGTAAGCAAAAACTTATCTCTGTATATGTATGTTCTTTAAAATATACAATTTTCTCTTAAATGTATATGAAAGCCTTTTATTGTTTCTGTTTATGCCTATTGTCTTATATCTTGTATATGATTTATTTGTAGTTTATATATTTCTGTTGTGGGGCTGATGATGTCTTTAACCTTTTAAAGAAAATATATATATATATATATATATATATATATATATATATAATTGCCGATTCCACCTGACAAGTGAATGGACAGTTCTGTCTATGAAACTCTGGACTAGGGATGCTGAAGGTAACATCAATCAGCTAAGTAACAAACCTTTTACTTGTATTAATATATATAACCAATTTATAGTAGTATTTCAGACAATGCTGATGCATCATCAGTGCAACCCACCATATAACCATTTTTGAAGTCTTAAATAATACAGACATTTAAGTAACCATTTCTATAGTCTTAAGTGATAGCATTTTACATACATTTGATTTTATAGATTTATTTTACTTGCTTGCATTTTTAGTTTACAGATGTCAATGCTCTTTAAAAGGCAGATTTGTACAGTTATCCTAAGAGAAAAAATTGTACTGCATGAGCTTCACCCCATAAGGGGTTATGATTTACAATTTAGTTTTATAAATTCCACAAGTGCAATTTGATAGTAACAAAAGTCATTTTGTTTGTTTTTTTTTTTCAAATTTTCTTCACTTGTATCTTAATGAACATTGATTAATATTTATAATAAGGAATTATCTGAATATTAGTTTAAAAGTACTTGTCCTCATTTTCCTACTTATTCAAAAAAAAAAAAAAAAAAAAAAAGATTTGTGATAGTAACAAAGATATCATCTATCAGCTATGAAATTGCATGTGTTTTTTTTTTAAAGAAAAAAATCAATACAAAGTAGAAAATAATTCTGAAATCCATGTAAAAAGTAAAAACAAAATGTCAGTAATACTTATCAATAACATCTTTCATTGTATTCATGCATAACATGTTTTAGTCTGAGGTAATCTCTGACTTATTCTAACCCACAGGGGCATCATCATACCAGTTACCTGAACCTATTGTCCTACTCACACCTTAAACTTATGTTATGCAGAGTGACACTTTATAAGAGATTGGTCAAATACTCAACATAACCTGTGTGTATTAATACAAGTGTACAATTGATGGATACCTGATTATTTTTTAGTAGTAACCACTACAAGTGACTTACACTTGTAGTATTAAAAAATTGTAATATAAAAATAATTTTTATTTAAAAAATATCCTTCGACTTGCACTATATAATTCATTATAAATTTTCTTAAGCAAATTAGAATACATGTTTTGCATAGAATTTAATTCATTTGCTATGTGTATACAGACATACATATATTGATGTATGTATATCTTACAGACATTCACATAAAACACACAAGATCATAAATGTACAATTGATTGCATGCATTTTATAAATATTGATGGACAGGTAACTGTCCTTATGTTCACTTATTTTTGGCACATCTCAGTATCAAGAGATTTCTATAAAATAGTAAAAAATAGATTTTAGCCTTTGGTATTTAGAGTTGGTACGATCAACCAATACGAACATTATTCTAAAGTCCTGTGGAAACTGTCCTATTTATGCTTTAACTGCTTAACTTTATGGCTGATGTCATACAATTATTGCAATCATTATTTTAGGCAATAGTGTTTGATGGACATATTTTTAAAAGTTTCCTAACTTCCTGATCATTTTGGAATATGAAGAGATGATCTTAAATTGTTTTAGTTATAGTTTCTTTGAAAAATTTGATATAAATTATTTTTTATTATTGCTGTCTTATTCACTATAAGCTTAGTTTGTTTTTACTATCGAACCAGATTTATAGGTAGGGAGTAATAGTTTTCCAGACATTGAACTTTTGACATTCAAATAGAAAAATGCATTGGTTAGGCATTATAACTTTCATTTAAATAGGTAAATTTTAGAGAGAGAGAAAAAAAAAAAAAAAGATTACAAAAATTTCTAAATATCTGCTAAATGCTAAATATTTTATTATTTGGCCATGTTTTTATAAAAATGATACAGTGAAACAAAATTTATCTCAACACTAAATCCCATATGTAATTTTTCTTGTAGGTTAACGTGCTTTGCTATGTTACAATAGTCAAAGATGAAAAATATTGTATAAAATTCTGTTTGTAAAAGTTTACTTACTTGGTGAAATTTCTGTAACTTCATTTGGCTTTTTTGATACATCTTCCTCAGACACTCCTTTAGAAGGAAGTTTGTTGTAGATATTTACTTCTTCAGAGATTTTGCAGGCAAGAGGTGGAGAGCTGGAAGTGAGGCAAGTGCAATGGCTGAGAGCCCACTGCTCAAGAGTTGGGTTAAAATACATTAGCAAAATATAGAACATGTACAACAGCACCAAAACAAGGGCTTCATACCTGCAATGGAAAAAAAAATTGAGCAAATTATAAAGGTCTAAACAGAGAAAATGAAAAAGATAATGTGCTAAATTTTAGACCTAATATAAAATGATGTTTGAAGTTATTTAAACTCAATGAAGAGTTACCATTCAAACAAGTTGTGAAGTTTTTAGATATTTCTATGAATCATTAGAGAATATCAACATCTTAGAATATATTTATAGTTAAATACAAAATCTAATTTGTAAAGAGAAAATGTTTACTCAAAGTTATGGTTATAAAATTAAAAAATTAGGAGCAGTTAGGTACAATAAACTCTTATAAATGACTTATAAAATAATACAGTTAAACGTTATTGAAGTAAAAATAACAATGTTTAAGAGTTTATCCAAAGAATTTACATTTCTATTTAACTTGGAAATTCAAGTACATTGATATGGTTAAAATATATTTTTATTGAGGGGTTAACTTTTGCAAATGTCATGCTGGTTTACTTTCAATATCAAAAACCACAGATCATTTCTAAACTGGAGTTCAAATCTTTGATGAAGTAAATGGTTCCTGGTGTGATGCTCAACTGAAATGTTGAGGACTACAGATGAAAAAGAGTTAATATGTAGATAATTCATTATCTATATTTTAATAATTAAAAAAAAAAAAAAAAAAAAAAAAGAAGCAGTTTATATATGGAGATAGTAAATATATAATCAATGTATTAAAAATGAAGGAGTGCATACAAACTAACTTTTAACAGCAGCTTTGGTTATCCTTTCCTTCAAATGATAATCAGTTCAAAAGTAATTAATGTTTGCCAACTAATGACTTCAACAAATATTTCACCTCATAATGCAATCTTCTGTAACTTGGTTCTCACTTGCAGTATAGATTTGTATTTTTTTTTTATTTAAATCAACTTGACAAAATAAAACATTTCATTTGGGACCATATTCAAATATACACTTTCATACAAACAGTGTAATAATATTATTTTCAAATGTGTATATATATATATATATATATATATATATATATATATATATATATATATATATATATATATTATTAGTTTAGACTTATTTCAAGATTCCAAAATAATAGTACTTATATATGACCATTATTTTGGAATCTTGAAATTATCATACTAAAAGCAAAACTTGCATCAAAAGAAACCAAGATTCTACAGATATTTATCTTTTTCTTTTTATCCAATCATTATTTTTTAATTGGGATTCAACATTGCTATTTTCATTACAGTAATTATTAATGATTTTTTTTGCTCAGGACAGATTTTTTTTACTTTAAAAAATCTTGATTTTTGTCCCCAGTAGAAAAAGGTTTAAAAACTTTTTTTTTTTTTTTTTTTTTTTTAAAAGAAATTTCTATATCCCTGCAACATTAAAAAAAAAGACAACATACCATGTGACAATTTCGTCTAGAATGATGATCAGTAATGTTATGATACTGAGAGTGTAGCAGCTACAGTCTCGAAATAATGGCCACCAATTCAGATGAACTGTCTAATAGAAAAAAAGATTCAAAGCCATAATTTTAATAAATATATTTTCTAAAACTGAAAAACATTGTCATAAAGAAAGTATTTATTATAAAAAGGAAATTAAATCATTTTAGAGAAATCTTACAGAGTTTTTTCTCAGTCTATAGACCAAGAAAAAACAAAAAGGGATGCATAATATTAAACTATGATTATTACTTAATTAGTATCAACCATCAATTATACAATGTTTATTTTCACTATTATTATCCGATTAGTTATGAAAGGATATAGGAACTAACCTCATTTCCAACAGAATTACATACATTAAAAATGCTCACAAACTATTTTCTACCCAATAATGGACAATATTACAAATATGCCAAAAACATTCCACAATACAACACATACCATTTAAATTAAAGTGTCTATTGTTTAAAAATTAACATCACCATGCAAAATATTTGACCAATCAGAGAAAACAAAAACCCTATTTTTCTTGGTTACTTTCAGTAAAAATTTCTTATAAAAACCCACAGATTTCAACATTCAGAGCATAGATGTGACTTTCCAAGCATTTAAACACAGAAGACATGACTACATAGCTTTTTCTTTTCTTCCCCAGCACATGCTGAAAGGAACATGTGTTTGTGACTTCAAGTGAATCAGCTACAACAACAATATTTGCTAATGATAAAAGTTTTTCTAAACTTTATATTTTTCTGTGGACCAACTACCCAAAGATTCAATTAAAGACTATTTTTACTCCATTGTGACTCTGGAATCCATGTACATAAGTTTGTAAATACAAATGATTTATTTAATAGTCATACTCAATTTTTCTTTATTTTTATTTCATTGTTTGGAATTCAGACATTCAGATTTTTAAAAATGTGGATGACAAGAAAAACTATTTCTTGTATTGCAAGTATATTTTTTGAAATATCAACTTATCCTGAGGTTGAAGTATGCCTTTTCATTTAAACTAGTTTACTCATCTTGATTGTCATACTAACAATATTTCTGCTGCTTTACTGTTTGACCTTCTTCAAATGCTTGTCTGTTATACTAAGTAATCTTCTTGTAATTTTGAATGAAAAACCTTTATTCAGTTCACGGGATTAGACTGTTCTTATTCTGCTTCCCATGCTTAGAGGAAAGTCTTAGATCAGTTGATATTCTCTAGTCTATCCATTTTTGTTTTACTTGTTCATTTCTATCACTGAAATCTAGTATATGATACTTTTTTCTACACTGCCCAACCCAGGTATTGAACTTACAACTGCCAGGAAACTAGATATACTTTAACCAAAAATTTAACCAACTAAGCCAGTTCACTTGGACAATCCAGTGGTATCGTTTTGGAGACTTAAATGTAATGTATGTATGCAAACAGTAGAACTTTCAATTGTCTTTTCTTAATCAGAGACTCCTAGATGGTGTAAAACCAATAGTGGAAGATGTCAGAGTATAATGTGTGTACAAGTTATTTCAGTTGAACTGTTTTTTTAAGACAACCCTGATGTTTATGGACTGCAGATTGAGATGAACTTTAAAGATGTACCTTCCTATGAATAAAAGACAGACCATGGGAAATTCTTTATTGTAGTCATTGAATCTTCTGTATCCTCCCATGGAAGCTGATATTATGCTATCAGGAAATATATATATATATATATATATATATATATATATATATATATATATACACACACAACTGAATGTTACATTGAGGAAATATTATTTAGTTTATTGTTAGGCTGGAAATTAATATCTGCTTTTAAACATATTTAAGTAACAGGTCAAGATTTTTGAAAGTTTCAGTTACTTATGGAAGCATCTTAAAAATTATATCAGAACCACATTGGATATATCTATCAGAACCACATTGGATATATCTATCCTGTGTATGCTGATTGTTTTGTTTTTTGTTTTTTTTTAGCCGAAGGAAAATTAGGTATAAACTGGTTGTCAGTAAAAAAAAAAAAATTCAAAATTGCACTATGAAGAAAACTTTCTCAATTATGAGAGTATGGAAGTTGAAACGTTGTAGGGTTTAACAAGTGTATTTTAAATGTGTGCATATTCACATATGATAAACAAAGAAGCATACAAAAACTTGTTTTACTATGGAAATTTATTTTTTGTGATGACAATAGTGAAACAAAATTTTAATGTCTTCAGTATGTCTTTACTTTTTTGGTTCAAAAATAAATTAGGATAACAATGGTTAAAATGATTGAGCTGAAATTAGCTTTGTACCAAGTTGGAATGACCAATTCACTTACTTTTTGAGTAGGACTACCAAAACACATTCAAACACTATCATTGGAAAGTGGAAAAGAGAAAGATTTTGTCCTTTCTGGAAGTGCAGACAAAACCATGCAGGTGATCAAAAACCCTCTTCAGTTTCTTTATTACTTACATCATAGGTAAATTAATTTTTCTTTTTTTTTTTTTTATTCTTTATTATTATTTTATATATTGGTTTTCAAAATATAACTATATGACCCAAAATCAGATCGTTTTTAAGAACTTCCTGGTTGGATTGAGGACTTTTCAGCATACCATCATATTAATATAATTTGGGCACCTCAACATGGCATAATGGTTAGCAAGAATGTCTCACTAGAACAATTATAACTGAGTAATAAGTTTGATCCTCACTAGGTGCCCCATATCTTTGGCCTTGCACCACATCTAAGCTATGTTTAGAAAAAATAATCATATCAATTGTAGAATGTAATAGAATAATTTAAAAGATTGATAAAATGATAAAAATTAACCATAATAATGATAATTGAAGCTAGTGAAAAATTAATGTATATAAATGAAATGCTCTAGATAAGTTTTCAAAAGTGGATAATTAATGAAAATGAGGATAATATCTGATCTATACCCTTATCTTCTAATATTTGTAATGTAATACATCAAGTTATAAAGAAAATACAGTTGATATTAAATAGAGCATAATGGGCATAAACAAATCATTTTCACAAGCCAGAATTATAAGACTTATTTTTCCCCAAAATATAAATTATATTCCAAATTTCATCAAACCAGAGAAAATAATTAAATGCTTATTTTTCTGTAACAGTAACAGTGTCGATGCCTTCTCAGTCATGCTATTTATTGGTATACATTTGTGTACTCATCACATTTCTATTTTTATAATAAACATTAGTGTTAAAGTACTTAAAGGACAACAATAGTATCAGTATCTTATTGACACCTATTTACAAGGTTTTTGTGTAAAGGGAAAAAAAGGACAATAACTAGAGTCATTATTTATTGAAACTCTCTCTCAATAATCCTAAAGATTACTTTGACCCTTATTTCTTCATAAAGGCTGCTTGTTTTGTTTTTTTAATAAAAAATATGCCCAATAAAGAAGCATTATTTCACTGAGTAGTGAGAGTAAACTTTTAGCATTTCATAAACTTAATAATTTTAGTGACAAAACTTTATTTTATTTTACTGTGTGATACTGTTTCTTATTGCCTGTACATACATAACTGTTTTTTTTTTTGTTTTGTTAAGGCAGGAATGGGATTAAATTCACACAAAGTAAGGTGGGTCCTGCCTGACAAAGATTTGTCATAATGATTTGAGGCAAGGTTTTAAAAGGCTGCATTCTCTTGATGCCCAATTTGGACACACACAGCAAATGTTTTTATGAAGACACCATCTTTAGGAATATTGTTATTCATAGACCCCCATCATATCCTTATATATGTTGGCAGTTGGCTCCTATAAGTCCTATTAGGACATTGGGGTGAGATGCAGCCCTCCTTACCAACAGGAAAGCTAATGGAGGGGTGCAGGTGGTTTAGTTACCAACCACTTGTCCATGTGGCAGGTTGTACAGAGTTACATATTACCAGTAGCTGGTCTAAGCTTGACCTGACCTTAAACCTAAAGTTACAAATACAGATACTTTAGAATTACTGTAATTTCTAACCCTTGTAATAATAGCAGAGAGAAAATATTCAAAGTAAAACACTAAGGGGAGAATTGAATAAGACAAGAATATTAAACAATTATATTTAGAGAGGAGGATAGATCTCATTAATAATCAATAAGAAAAAGCCACCTTAAAAGAAAGTAATACAGAAAAACTGAAAATTTAGTCATTACTTTGACATGACTGGTATTTAAGAGAAACAAAACTTCAAGTTCATGTGTAATAGAATTGCAAGTGTTAAATAGCTGTGTGTATTACTATACATCTTAAAATAGCATATGGTCATGAGACTTGGAGAAATTAAAATGGCACAATTCTTATGATACCAAACAGTTGTTGCAGGTGGTCTTTAGAGATTTCACAAATAAAAGAAAATCATTCATCTACATTTGAAATTTGCCAATATATATTAATGCAATGAAGGTCCAAATGTTCATAAAGAACTTGTTAGAAAGTGTTTATTTTTAAAATCAAGTTCACCACAAGCAAGTCAGTAAAGCCACTAAGACACAAGGGGTTACTGAGTACAGAGGAACTAGAAAACGGAAGGAGCGAGAACAATAGATTAATCAGGAAGACAGTAAATAGTGATTGACATTGCATTTAACTTTTTGGAGATTAAAGTTGACCGGAAAGCATGGAGGCAGAAGAGGCTTCCACAAGTGAGAAAAACTTAGCATAGAATTGCATGGTTACATCTAGCCAACTAGAGCAAAACAATTAACATGAAATTATTTATAGAAAAGGTAGAGAGAGACAACTTTATGGCAATGGGGAAGTGACTGAAACAGATGCCAGGTTATGACCAATAATATTGCTGATTCTTTGGGTTTTTTCAAGAATCTCTAAATATAAAGCAGGAGCACTGGACCATATGTGGCAGCAATATACAAGGTATGGATGAATGGTAGACTTATAAATATGTAAGATAGATTCTGGAGAGAAGAATTGTCTAGCACAACACAGTGAACCAACAGCAGACCTAGCAATAGATTCAATATATTATTTCCACTTCATGGCAGCTGAGAATGTTAGTCCAAGGCACAACAAGTTACTTATCAGCATCCGACATCACAAAAAAGAAAAAAATGAAAATAAAAACCCATCTCAAAGCTCAGATTTAAAATTTAAAAAAAAAAAATATCCTAATGGAAGTTTTCACTAAAGCTTGTAACTCATTAGAAATGAGAAACTAGGATCCATTAGAGAAATCATTTGTAGCTCAAAATATGACATCCAAAAATCAGCTCAACTTCAAAACATTTTTCAGCCAATGAAAAAATTTAAAAAATTAAACGCCTGCAAGTCACAATTTTACAGAAGCCAATCTTATAATAAAGACACTTATCAGGCATCAAAATGAAACTACTTTTAAAACATGGTTGATAAAAGTAAGAAATATTTTTTTTCAATTTAACCCTTATTGTACCTTTCTTTTAATTACTTTCAAGTAAACTAAACCTTCTTTGAAATTTTGTTCTGTGAAAATATGAAAAATATATTTTTCAACAGTACATTAATAAACAGAAAATGTTTAAATAGCTGAATATATTTAAAAATAAAACCATCTGTTACTTAAAAAGTTTACATTAAAAATGTTCTGTCTTAAATAGCTGATATCTTTAAAAAAAAAATTAAAAAAAAAAAAAAAATGGAAGTAAACAATTCTATTAAGAACTGTCCTTTAATAAATGACAGTTTACCTATTAAATAAAAAAATTGTAACTGTATTCTGAGTATTTTAGCCAACTAAAACATTTTTCATGCAACCTTTGACAAACTAATTGTTGTGATGTCTTCTAGTCTGTGACATATAAGTTCTACCAGTGCTGGATTTAGCAGGCTGGAGCCTAGTGCCCCCAACCAAGGTGTATAATATTTTTGACACTGTCATAGTCCTTACACATGTTGTTATAATGCATTGTAGACACTAAATAACCCTTCAGTAATTTTAAACATCCGTCATTATCGCCAGCTTTACTCCAATTGTTTAATTTAACACTCTTCTACTTTCCTCTACTTTCCTCTACTCTTGAGAATGGGGATTTGGATGGGCCTCACAAGTGGAATAGGCTGGGGGGCGTCTCTCTTCATCTAAATCTGGCCAGAGTTTTATCCCCGTACCGAGTGATTAGTAGTCACTCGATTCTATGCAAAATAGGGCAAATTTATTTTGTCTATGTCAGTACACATTCCTGAAACGAAGAGGGTTTTATGCCCTTTGTTGATCTATGACTTCCAAACAATAGTACAAGAACTTATTTCTCTCTCATGAAGTGTGTACCTGGTTCTTTTTATTGGGGATCTAGATCTGGACTCATCTTCATCCTGATCTTCCAACTCCATGTCAGATTCATGTGAACTATCCTCCATAGTTTCTCCATCAAAAGCATTCATGCTTTCCTCCTTTTCAGGTTCTTCCTCCTCCTCCTCTTCCATCTTGACTTCTTCATCATCAATTCTTGATCTTATTTGATCAGAATGAGCCAATGAATTCCAGCCACCTGTTGCTATCATATTTGAGCAATAAAGGGATTTTTTATCAGGTCAGTTTTTTTTTTGTACCACATTTTACATTTATTGAATAGGACATTGTTATAGGTGATCTAATTTGTCTTCACATTAATGCAGAGGGACTTTGCATTCTACTAATATGCAGAATAATTCTATAACTTACTAATAGTCTTGCTAGGTAATTATATATGGCATCTATGGAATGGGGAATGCCTTCAACTCCATTTTTACCATCTGCACCATTCTTTTTGTAATTCTATTCAATTGCAGATGGTATGGTGGTATTTTATAAGGGAGGCATCCAATTTGTTTTAACCATGAATACAAAATTTAATCACGTAATTCTGGTGCAATATCAGAGACTAACGTTTCTGGCACCCCATTTCTGGAAAAATAATACTTGTAATAATCACCATTAAATACATTTTCAATAGATCTTTGACAAATAGTACTTGTTGTTTGTACACTATAAAGCATATACTTCCATCTGATTAAGCTTATTGCAGAGTTAATTGTAGAGACCTCTTTAAATTTTTCATTGATTTGTAACTGGTCATAGGGTGATTTGAGGTCAATTTTAGCAAAGTATTTAATTTCAATTCAAGTGGATGTGTAATAGAATTGAAAGTGTTAAATAGCTGTGTGTACTACTATAAATCTCAAAATAGCATATGGTTATGTTTCTGAGACTTTTATTCCCTTTTTCTTTTCATTTTATGCTTGAACACAGACTGAAAATAGTTTTGCTTTTCCCAATTGCAGCATACTTGTCAAAGCTGGACATTTTTCTTGTTCCATTCATGTTTTTTTTTTTTTTTATCACATTTGCATTGTAAAAGATGGCTGGCTGCTTCAGCATTACTCTTGGATGCATTGAATTTTTTTTAGTTAATTCTAATTCTTGCAGAAACTCTATATCCTATATCATCCAAGAATATTTTAGTTATAACCGTTCTAAATTTTTGCATTTGTATGAAGCATCACACATATCTTCAATTAATCTCAACTGTATCAACTCATCTTTGCTGATCATTTCTCCAGTGCCAAGTTTTTGAAAATCACAAAATCTGGACACCTTTCGGAGCTTGTGTACATACTGTATTAGTTTCATTCAACTTTTGTTTACTTACAAGAAATTTTGTCCTCTTTGCAATAACCAACTTTTTTCAGTCTCAAATTTCTTTATAATGTTTGTAAATTTTGAAAAGGCCAAATCCTCCAACTTTCTGGGACACACCATGGCAGAGATTTTTCTGATGGCTTCACAATCTGCCGAAGTTAAGAGATCTGTAATCTCATTCTCCGTTTCTGCAACTTTGTGGCCTTTTAACTTTGCCCCTTGCCTGGGCAGCAAAACAACAAATCCATGTTTCCATAAAGTCCAGCTTGTCCAATGGTGTTAGAGATCCTATTGAAAATGCCATATAGTTGTGAGGTCTTCTAGTCTGTGATGTAGAAGTTCTATTTAACACATGAATACATATATTTGTGGTCCAAGACTGAAATGGGAGTGGGGAAAGTCTGGTTGACACTGTCTGTCCTACTCATTATATTTAAGGAGAGGGAGGAGAGAAGAGAGGGAGAAGAGAGGGGAGAAGGGAGGGAGGGAGAAGAGGAGGGAGGGAGGGAGGAGAGGAGAGGAGAGGAGGGAGGAGGGAGAAGAGGGGAGGGAGGGAGGAGGGAGGGAGAAGAGGAGGGAGAAGGAGGGAGAAGGAGGCGAGAAGGGAGGGGGAGAAGAGAGGCGAGAAGGGGAGGGAGGGAGAAGGAGGAGAGAAGGGAGGGAGGGAGGAGAGAGGGAGGAGGAGGGAGGAGGGAAGGGAGGGAGGAGGAGGAGAGAAGGAGGAGAAGGAGGAGAGAAGGGAGGAGGGAGAAGAAGGAGGGAGAAGAAGGAGGGAGAAGAAGGAGGGAGAAGAGAGGTGGGAGGAAAAAAAAAAGAAGATATTTTGATCATTTATCAAATTTTTATGTCGTGGGGTGTTTTGTAAGTCCCCTGTGAATATGCAATAATGTGGTATATGTGGGATTGAGAGGTGATGGAGGTCTTGTGGTGAATGAGCAAATTGTAATGAATGAATGAATCATGATTCTGATTAACTAGGACTAAGGCAGCTAATGAAGACCAGCCCCTCCCTATTTTTCCATTCGTCCTTGTGTTACAATGTCCTTATAATAGCAGAAATAAATAATCTGTCTATCCTACTCATAGATAGTCTGACTCACGAAAATTTACTCTAACAACCTATCTTTCTCCATCCAATCCCATCATGTATAATTGTACATTTTCATAGACGACCTAATAAAACCCCAATGCCGATGAGGATTTCTGAATATATATAATTTTTTTCTACAAAAACACAGTAAAATTTCCACATTAAATGAAAGTGAAGAGAGTGAACCCAATAATCAAAAATAAAATAAAAGAAAAAACATTTAAACGAAAATAACCTTATGGATCCGTCCAACCCACAAAAATAAGAATGGCCGCTGTATTCTACCGATAAACATTCAAGAAACTCATTCGCTTGCATGAAGGTCGGGTTCGAACCACACTCCCAGAATGAAAACGGAATAGTCTGTCCAATTGAAAAGGCTTGGAAGAGCGTCGCTCTTCCAAGAGCCAACCACAAGCCGGAAAACTTGTTAAATGGTCATCCGTTATGTCGATGGGCACCCTGTGAACTTATTTTTCAGATGTCCACACTTCGTTGTGAGGATACTTCCGGTCAATTTTTTTGTCGTTTCTTTCTTGTCTAGCAGGATGATCCACATCGCGTTACTTTTGCAGAGTAACCTGATTGGTACGCTGATGCTCTTCGGTGGCCTACTCCATGTTCTCTCTACTGATTCCGACCACATTTTTGGTCTTCACAAGGAGACAGTTCTAGTTGCTACAGCTTCCATTAACGAAGGGACCGACAAGGTTCATTACCAGAAATGAACTGTTGGTACTGGCCTTGCATTTCCGCAAAATGCGCGACATCTTTTGGGTCTTGCAAAAAAAAAAAAAAAAAAAAAAATAAATATATTTTTCAGTTGCAGCTATCTCCTGCCTTGACATTTGTTTGTTTCACCATGTTGGAAGAGCACACTATACAGCAAAACAACGAAAAATGATTTGAATTAAAAATAAAAACGACAGTGGCAAACTAGCAAAAAAAAAAAAAAAAAAAAAAAAATTTTTTTAAAAGAAAAATGCTCAAACTCACTGAATAGTAACAGAATCCACCTGGAAAAGACAAGCCATACGATGAATGTGAAGTTCTACCCTCGTACCGAGTGATGCCTGACTTAGTCGTTTCGACTCTAGGCAAAATAGGACAAGTCCATTTTGCCTATGTCAGTCACTACACTAATAATACCAATAAAATGTTTCTTGTAAGACATTTCCAATATAGAATTAAGTTATTAACCAAATAAACAGATAAGCAATTTTTTTTCTGAAAGTGAAAGATTTAAAAATAGAAAGTAAATAACACTCACTGCTCCAGCAAATAAGGCACATAAACTGATTACAAAGAGGATGTTATAGACAGCAGAGCCTACTACAGTTCCCAGACCAATATCATTCTGGAAAACAAAATGAAAATAAAATACTTGATATTAAATAAGTAAATAAAAACAGTGTGAGAAGCAAATTATTCAGAATACATAAAAATGTTGTTGAAATTCACAAAGAATTTATTATTTTGAAAAGCATTGGGATTTGATTATTTCATTGATAACGAAATGTTATGAAAAGCAAAAGAATACAACCAGACAAGAATCTGAAAGCTTGACGAAAGAGGAAGTCAAAAAAATTCACGAGGATAGAATGAATATTAAAAGCAAAATACATACTTACCTTTGCAACAAAAACCCCAATAATAGATGTGGCCAGTTCAGGGGCTGAACTTCCAGCAGCCATAAATGTTGCACCTGCCACATCAGTTTGTAAATGCAGAGCTGATAAAGAAAGAAAAAAAAAAGGAATGTAATGCAAATTTAATGGTAAATTTGATAATTAAAGTATATTGTAGAACATTTAAAGTGGCATACTTTGCAGAAAATAAATATTTGATATAAAAAGTCTACAACTATGTGATAATGCATGACAAAGAAAAAGAACAGCTTCAGTTTGAAACACCAGACAAAAATACTAACGTATTTTGTCAACCAAATAAAAAGGTTTTATAACTTTGCAAGAACATAAAAAGATAATTCAACTACTTTTATGTACCATGTCTCTTCAATACGTGGGCGATCATAGCTCGTCACAACTTCCTATCATTTATAGCACCAAGCAATATCGGTCTGCTTATTATTCATCCCACTTCCTGTTTGTCATCCATTTACACAAGCTCATTAGGTAGGTTACTTACTGCCCCTCTTGCCTCCAATGTCATGATAAATGTCTCCAAGCCCTCTTCTCATATCCCAGGAATTCCAACTATTTCATTCTGATTCTAAGTAAAATTGCCTTTTTGTTCATGCTTTTCTTAAAGCTTCCTCATTACTCACATGTTCCATCCATGGTATTATCTGTATCCTTCCGTAGAACCACATCTGTTACTTTAAATCTTTTCATTTGTGAGGAAATTGTCCAGCATTCCCTGCTATATATGATAATTGTAATTACACAGCAGTAATTGAAGTATTGAAGTAATATTAACATTTAAGCATTTATTAATTTTTCTTTAAAAGTTTAATAAATCACCAAGAAAATTAAACTTAAAAAGAAAACAACAAAGTAGAAATAAGAGAAAGAGATTGTTGTAGATTTCATAATTGTTTAGAGTGACACCTTTAAAAAGGTTTTCCCAGAAAATAATAGCTTTCTATGAAATTCAATTCTACTTACCCTCTGAAATAGACTCCAGTGATGGTATAAAGTAGTCATCACAGACCACAGACAATCCAAGAAACATGTAAGCAGCCACAAGAACATGGATAACAAGAGCTCCGTTTTTACGCTGTTCCTGGGTAAATAGATCCCTGGGGAACTGGTTCACAGCAGGTGGGGTACAGTTGGGTAAAGCCATTAACTGACGAATGGGCACTGAAAGAAAGAAAGAAAAAAAAAGGTATCCAAATAGATAATTGTGGCAAGTAGAAAAATTACTGTAAACATCTTGTTCATGGTCAAAAGCACTAGAAGTATTTGTTTTCTTTTATATCCGAGAGTTTTGCAACAAAACTTTGTATCTTTATTTGATCAATTCAGTGTTGATTAAAATGAAATTTTAACAAAATGATAATTGATGGGAGCAATTAAATTAGTACATAATCAGTGGTTGTATATAGATGTTCATTCCAAATCTTCGGTTTTTACAGGTTATAACCTAGCCTTCAGATAAAAAAAGTGTTTTCCTTCTCTTCAATGTATTGATAGCAGTAAAGATCACTGACTTGATATGATCAACAGAAATCTGTGTAAAATACAAGGGAGAAATAGAAAATCTTTTTTGAGCTTGTGCTAAATTGTTCAAAATTGATTTTTAAGGAACTCAATTCTTTGCTTAGCGAGTTGAGAAAAAGGTTAAAATGCAGCAAACAATTCCACTAGATTGACATTATGAGGAGGACTACAAAATTATTTTACCATAATTATTTGTGTATAATATGCATCCCTAAACTGGTGTTACAAACAAAATTCTGAGAAAGTATATAATTTCCACAGAATTTTAGAATTTGTAGCTGTTAAATTTAATAATTAGCAAGCTAAAAAACAACAATTCATATACTTTACATTGTTTTGAAACATGAAATTTACACGGTATTTAAAGCAAACGCACGGACATGTTCATACAAAAGATGTAACAAATTTGCAACCAAAATAGGATAAATAAACTACAGTACTCAAACAGTAATAACAGTAGTGTAGACAAGCTACCCCAACAATTTTACGAGCCAAGAAAAACGTTCAATGCGGTCCTATATAAATCCTAAGAAATAATAACGATTTTAAAAGTCACTATCTGCTGAAGTTTCGTTGCTTTTCGACTCAGGCTTTTTGTAAGAAAATCTCCCATTGCATATTTGGCCATATATACCTTGCAGTATCACCAAGTTGCGTTTATGGTGTGACAAGTGATTTTTTTTTTAATCAGGTTCGAAGCGCGATAACGTATTTTCATGTATACCAAAAAGTCATGTGCCATAGTGAGGTGAGCGAGTTAACTACTTTCATGCATGCTTTCACCGATATTATTTTGATCATTTTATATAATAATTTTTATGGTCTTCAAATCTTCTACACCCCCATACAATTAAAACATTCAACCCAGCTTGATAACTGTTTTTTTTTTTTTTTTTCAAAATCCTATGAATTTCAGGAAGATTTTTTTCACTTCCTTAATTTTATCTATTTATTATATTCCATACACTTACACACTTCGTGCTTTTACGATTTGTTCCAGAAACAATATATTCCATAAAAGCTATAATTGTCGAGAATTGCGTTTTTTTACCCAAAATTCTTGTGGGACAAAAAAGTTAGGCTCACACAAGTGCCAAGTTTATCCGAAATTGCATTAGATAGATCCTGTCAGCCAAATATTTGGCAGTTTTACGTTTAGTGTTTGACAAAGGGAGCTTTCCATCCAGCCATACAGATTGTTTGCCTGTCAAATAAAACTAGTTCATTTATTTACTATTTGATGTTCTGTGTAATTTCAGGTATGTGTGTTGTGCTTCTCAAACGGTGGAAAACAGGATCAAACAACACATCTAGTATACGACAAGAAACTAATTACAGCTGTACCCAACTTATAGTCGATTTTATTCTATGCGTCTAGGTCTAAAAATCAATTTAGAAAAATAATTCTAGCGTCTCGAAACCGTTGGGCATGAACTCAGAAACAACTAAGAGAAAACACATTAAAGCCTTGAAATATTTTAATATTCAGGCCACACCTCATCCCACATTGGATGTATTGACAGACACGAGCCAGACTGTGTCCGTCTAAAAAATTAATTCCCCCAAATAACTTAATGAGATTAGAATTCCGTTTACTATTCTCCAAATTTGGCACGAAATATGTGGATAAATTTGAATCTCAAAGCATTCAAAATAGATCACTAATTATGAGTCAAACTCGTAAATATTTGAGCAATTTGATTTTGAGGAATAATGTAAAATACTCAAATATTTCCATTTAAACGATGGCAAAGTTGTATATAATGTATAGGCAGTTGCTATTCGGATCCAGGTGGTTTGAGGCCTGTGCAAACCAGTAATGAATATCCTACCATGCCTTGAGAAATTTAACGTCTCTTGGATAATTCTGTTATACTTCGCTGCAATTAGGTCTCTTTCAGATTCACTCTAAATGTCGGCCAGATGTGAACACTAAAAAAGCAAAATAAAATAAAAATTGTTTTCTGCATAAACAAATCCCCGCGATAAAATACAACAGCAAATCGCGAAGATGATATCCTAGATTTGCTTGAATGAAAGCCCATCGCAAACGTACGAGAGTAGCAGGCCGAAAGGCCACCTGTCGATACGCAGCTGCGCTGTCTCATCACCACCATGAACTCTCCCATGCTTCACTAATCTCACCCGACTCGTTACACACAAAATGCGATCGACAGGCCAACTTCAACACAGTCGGGCTCCCGACGCCACCGCTGTGATTTTTAATACCTTAACGTCTTCACTATTTAGCGCCAAGCCTCCTTCATTGTCACTACTGTAACCGTTTCGTTGATACCAAATTCGATCAGAATCCAATTCATTCGATCAGCCTTCATTATCCACTTCAGAATTTTCTCGTCATCACCACCGTGACTAAGTTTCGCTGATACCACATTCGACCGGAAGCCAACAGACATTTCATTACCAACCACCAATGCATCCACTATATCCGCAAAACCAGATGCGTAGCTTCACCACTGTGGCTTCGATCGATTAACCCGCCGAACACACCATACCGAGCCTTACCACGAATCATCTCCGCTGTCAAGACAGTTCGGCCTCGTCACACCAACGCCAGACCATCAAGCACCTCACCAATGTCGATTTTAACTATGAAGAAAGGCGTACGACACTGCAGTTGGCTTCACTAATCTGTTATAGACCTATCTCTTGACCTCAATTGTGACCTCAGCCAACCAGCCCAAGAAATCGGTCAACTCCCGGTCCTACCGACAACACCGTTTCATCTAATTGCTTTTCTTACCAAGGAACCACATTAACAATTTGTGTCACCTTTCAAACAACTATGTATATTTATATTATTGTCCTCATCTTTATTACAATATTCACCCTGTATATTTTGATTTGTCCATCACTACAGTTGCATTACCTTTGTCAATCATCAATGACATCATACTTCCAGCTGACAAAGGCAATGCGATTGTAGTGATGGACAAATCGGAATATACAGGGTGAACATGGCAATAAAGATGAGAACAACAGTCCGAACAATGTAAATAATTACAATACTTCATCTCCGGAATATAGACAGAAGCTATGTATATATTCTAAAAATTGACGAATACACGTTGTTGAAATTTTAATTCTTGTTTGTTCGTCCCCTTTGCAACCATACAACAAGAAACTAAACGTCGCAATATCGCATTTTATAAACTTATGAAATACTGAAAACCACCTAGACAAGAAAATCATAATTAAATATTTGAATTCAGTAGTGAATGGTTAGCCAGCAAATATGAAAAAAAAAATAATCCACCGTAACTGAAAGCAAGAAGAAAATGAGTGCAACACAGCTTTAAAAATATTCTTCTCATGAAAAGTACCATGCACGACACCAAATCAGTACATAGAAGGAATGGAGTTAATCTGCAAAACCGGATGAGAGGTAACGATAAAAGCAACTTGTTGAACTGACTTCATTTCCCACGTCTCGCATGATTGTGGTCGTCATCATATCTTTATCATTACAAATTTACAGGAGGTTTACAAAACATTTTGTTCTAAATAAAGACAAGGTACTGCCACAGACTCCCAAAAAACGCATTTTAAATCATTTAAGTGTCTTTAAACTTAAATTTCAGTTTTATTTGAAAGATAATGGTCTAAATGTTAATCTGAATTTAAAAGAAACATTAATTTGCGTATATAAAACTGTTTCGGAATTTTTAAAACATTGGCACGTTCAATACTTACTCATTAAACCGCCATTATAGAAGTAAACAAATTTAAAAATCTGTTAAAGATCAAATATTCATCTTAAAGACATGTTTTGAAGTTGTGATGCGTGTTCTTAGCGCATATATCTATTGTACATTTAACGAAACTCCATATGTGGATCAACAAATAAATATATATTAAAATATAACATACAAAACAATCATGCAATGAAGTGTAATGATTAAAAGAAAAAAAGTTGTTCCCTTTCAACTGTATTCTGATTTATGATTGAATGTTCGAAAGAGTTTCTCTTGAATGTTCAAGATTCTAAGTTGAATAGAGTTTGCTGTTAAAATAAAATACAGTTAATTAAGAAATGTGTCGTTTAGAGAAATTAATAGAGTTTGGGTTCATGAATTGGATGAGTCAGAGAGAAAGATGTGTATAGTGTGTTACAAAAATCTGTGTGTGTGCGTTTGAAATATTGTGAGTAAAGTCGTAGATTTGTGTGGACAGGCGAAATAGCTGGACTCTACTGGCGGCTTGTAGCAAAATTGCTTCTTTTAAAGGTATCGGTAGGCTCCGAGCGAAAACGCGGGAAAAAATTGATTTAGTATTAAAATGTTTGATTGGTTAAAATTTGACCAATTACTTATAGAAAAGCAGTATTGATTTACTAGCCAGTCACAGACGAATAAATTGTGGGCGTGGAAAAGCATAGTCGCTACAAAGTCATTTAATAAATTTAAAAAGTAATTAAAAATGGATTCTGTAAAAGTAATGTTTACTTTTTATTTAAAACTTAATGAAAATAGCGTTTATTTACGCATAGTAGCATGTAGGTCAATAAAAAAATGTGTAATCACACCCATGACTTAAAAAGCGTACAAAAAAAAAATAAAAAAATAAAAAAAATAAAAAAATAAAAATAAAATTTAAATAAGTACGGAACACCAGCAGTG